TGCCCACTGTGGAGCGGACCCGCTGGCCTGGGGGGACACATTGCGAGGGGCCAGATCTAGTGTACCCTCTTCTCTGCGGTAGGTAAACACTGCTCCTGGAGCCTGCTGCATGCTGTCTATTTTCAGTGATCTCAAATCATGCACTGGTCTCTTCCCTGGGAGGCACTCATCTATCTGCCTTTGACCTTGGGCACACAGCCTGGCCACCTAGTGCATGATGAAACAATCTCCATGCATCACATCTTTATGCAGCGCACAACTGTATTCACTTCTACAGGCACTCACCAGGGTAGCTCTCAGCACCACAGGTCTCGCCAGTCTTGGCTCTGCCTCGTCAATTGCCCTCCTCCCTTCTCCATGCTCCTAAACTTTGATTCAAGGCTACAGATATTTGGTCTTTTTTTCCCCCAAGATTCACTTTATCATCACTATTGTGTCCTTAGCACCAACCACAGCATCTAGCACAAAGTAGGCACTCACATATGTTTGATGTGTTATTTCTTAGCCCCTACTGCAATTTGGGGTCAGCTTTTCTGGGAATTTCTTGAATGCTCATGGATGTGTAAGGGGTTAAAGATGCAGTGGAGACAGTCATCAGGAGCTGCATGAGGAGTCCAGGTGAGATGGCAGGGGTCACCTCTAGTCTGTTGGACCAGGGATGATTCTTCATCTCGAGTGCCATACATTTCCATCTTTGGAATCCTTTTATTTTTCTGTTATCTCCAGCTCCATTTTCCTCCAGGTTCGTGTCTCTAGAAATAAATTATAGCCTTTACACCGAGTCATCGGTTGCCTACTCTTCTCTGTGGCCCACTTAGTTGTGTGTCACTTTTTCATGTTATTTTGCAAGGGTGCTCAAAATTCAAGTCATTTGGGAGAAATGGCACTTGCCACAAATTAGAAGTTACAGTTTATCAGGGAACTCTTCCCTGACCCACTCCCATCCTTGCTGGCCCTTTTATTCAGATATCCTCAAATCCTGTGTATGCTTCCTAGGCAGCACTTATTACAATTTGCCATGCACTGTTTTCAAAATATTTTTTGATGACTTTCTTCTATGAGACGTTATGCTCCATGAGGTCAGAGACCACGTCTACCTTTTTTGTGAGGGTGGTACTCAATGGCTATCTGTTGAACAAACCTGTCAGAGCCCAGGCTGCTCAGATGTATGTGCTGATGGCATCTGAATGTAGGGTAAATAGCTCTCACATACAGCTCACCTTACTCTAATGCCCAAGTTTGAGCACCCTGTGACAAAAATCAGAAATGAGTGAATTTGATGGGGACTTGTTTTCTGAAGGTGGCTCAAGAGGGAGAAAATGAACATTTGACATGAAATTAATTTATAAATCAGTTTATTTACAGATTTTATTTTTTCGTAAAGTACATTTCAGTTAACAAATCTATTTACACAGGTATACATGGGAATTCATCCCAGTTATTTACAGATCATACTTACAAACCACACCCTGTCTTCGGTGCACAACTGCACTGGATGTGACTATTGGCTGAAAAGGCCTGATGACCAGGCCATTGACACATACACAGTAAACGGGTTTATTTTCATGTCTGCACAGTACAGTACACAAGGAGGCCAAGCCTCCCAGAGAATGCTTTGCAATGTCTTTACCAAGAAGGCTTTGCAAAGTCCAGAAGGAAAAGCTATTAAACATGTTAATTAAAATGACAGTACCTCCTTTACATCAGTTTACATTTTTCTTCACATTTTTATAATACAAAGATATTTTATTGAATTGCTGCACAACCAGTTTAAGATGATTTGTAAACATGTAAATTCCTACAATTTGCATTAAACATCATTGTAGTTTCTATCATTTGCTCTTTGAATTAATGTTTTATTCACTAGTATTCTTAAGGTAGTAAAAGGAAGGTGTAAGTTTGAATTTCTTGCAGAAAAGTTATGAGTCTCTAATGCTGTGCTACAGAAATTCTTTTGCGAGTACACACTTTATTCAAGTATTGCAAAAAGCTAAGGCCACTTTTTTTCAAGACAAGAAAGTGAACAAAATTGTTATCAATAGGCCACAACACTCTTATGAGCAATGAAATCTCTTGAAAGATAATTTCTCAGAGACCTGTAGTCACAGAAGGAATTTTCTTTTCTTTTAGGCGAAAGAAAAACAAATTACCTTCCTTATTAACTACTTTTGAGCTCTTCCCACTTTCCCTAGAGTAAAAATTCCTGTTTAGACCTGAAGAGGGAATCTATACCCTGTATTTATGTAACCCAGAGTTCACTACCCTGGATAGCACAAATTGTTTTGGACTCAGAAGTAAATCTGAAGCCTATATGTTGGTTTACTACTAAATTCTGATAGTGCTATTCTAAAAGATATTACTGCTGATGCAAAGATCTTTTTTTAAGAGGAATTATGAAGAGAGAGTAAAAGAGGATGGGGTTGTGGGGAGAAGGACAAAGGTCAGAAAGAGGAGATATTTAGGTTCTTGGTTAAGAGGCAGAGCTTGATTAAAAAGATACCAATATGGAACGAATGGCTGGGTGTCCACATTTCCATGCTTAATCCTAACAACAAACCCATTTCAATTAGAGCCAAATAGTTTAAATAAGAAGAAACCAGCTAACTATAGATTCCCTTGTTTTTGCTGCCAAACTATGGGTAATCGTGTCTAGCAAAGAGGAAGACTGATGTCTTTCTGTCTCTCATCTGGAACCCAGGATTCTTGCGACAGTAACGACAGTTGGAGGACGTGAGGATAGCCACTGCCACGTTCTTGGCAGCGATTCTTACCAGATGGCTGATCCCACGGACCTTTATCGTTATTTTTTTCCTTTTCTGGAATCGTAATGTTATAAAGAATAAACTTTCTTATTAAAAATTTACTTCAGGTCCAAATAATGAAGATGTAGAAAAACAACCTATATTCCTATTATAACATTTTGATATTCATTTATAAAAAATTTTCAGCAGCTGTGAAGTTTCAGTATCATAAGGACAATGTGATTCTACAAATAGCCAAAGGATGTGGACAAGATGTTTTTCTGTCTTTCAAATAACACAAACTGAAAAGAAAAGCCTTTGCTTTCCCTTGGCTCTGTGAAAATAGTATTTCCACACTACTGGTTAATAACCCCTAGAAACCTTTGCTTCTCTTAGTCAATTAGCTCATTATGGCTACACGACTACAGCTCAACATCAAAAGCCCAGAAGAAATGCTGGGAACACATCAATCTGAGTATTTCCCGAGACCCAGTCACATTTCAGTGCTTTCCTTATTTGTCAAGAGCTATCATACCAGTCATTGTGCAAAATGCAAATATTCCAATGATGATTTCAGCGAGTTTCTTCTGATGACAAGATGAAACCCAAAAGGAATGGGAGTGCACATAGGGCAACGCTCAAGATGCAAGGGCAAGTTTGGGAGGAAGAGGCAGAAATGAATGAACGTGCACACTTAAAAGACTATACCATCTTTGGGGTTTTTTCTAACATATTTTGAAGTTGTAACATTCCAGGATATTTGTAAATATGAATCCAGTGGATGTCTGATATCATGCTTCTAATCAGGACCTTCAAGATTAAGGCATTTACATTCACGCCTAAGATTATCCACATTCTTCTAGATTACTTGAAGAGGGATAGGACTGATTAAGAGAAACGAGTCAAGAAGGCAGGTGCTGAGGTCCCAGGAGAGCATCTCGTATGCTCTAATGTAGCAGCTGGAGTCTATAGATTTCTTTCAGATACAGGTAATAGTTGTGACGAGCAATGCTGTGAGAGGCAGAATGACATTTTACAGTGTCTTTAAACATTTCATCCCATTCCTGCTACAGCAGGTGATCTTGGAAAAGCCCATCTTCTTTTCACTGAATTCACTTCTTCAATAAGTGAGGGGTTTGTTAAAACTGTAGGTTTCCTGTGCAAAGACTATGAACCATAGAAGCTTCAAGATGGAGTTTACTATTAGAAGAATAATCTTTCACTTCTGAATAGGGACACACATTTTCAACGTAATAATTTATCTTAAAATAAATTAAAAAATGTTCCATAGCACAAAACAAGCACACAAACAATAGACAATATCTTGTTGTCTTTGGTGCACACACTCATTTCCTAAATCATTCAAGTAACAGCGTCTCTGACTTCCTGGGGAGCGATGGGTGAAGATCTGAAGGCTAGAATGAATGGTTTCCGCTTTTGCCATGCCTGGATGCCGGAGATGGTCCTGAGTATCGTGATTCAGGAGCAGCTGGTAAAGGGTCAGAACGAGTAGGAAAAGTGCAGGGATAAACCAAGGGCTAGAAGAACCTGCCCTGTGGCAGGCCTTTGAGTCCAGTCTTCGGGGGGGGGCATTTCTTTGTCGTCATGCCCAAACAGAGGAAACTACATGTAATGCCAAGGTTTAAGCTTCCTTCGATGGTGCTCAGAAAGCAAGGCTACCACTGATTCCCGTTAGCTTGACAGTCCACTTGGTGCTGCCCAACTGCAAAATGGAAGAAAATGCTCTTCAAAAAGAAATGAAATCAACTCCAGAATGTGACGTAGGCAGACATTGTTAAGCTTGCCTGTTTTAGAAGTGGCTAAGGGTTTAATACTGTTTAACGACTATAACGTCCATTTATGACTTTCATAGTATAGACCAAGATTACATTTCAAAATGATACGATGTATTTATTTACGTGTCTCTCTTGCCCAACTTCAGGCTTAAAGAAGTGATAGCCTCATCTAAGCCCAGGGGCAAGTCTGGTGTTTTCAGCCCTCATCTGAGACTCAGCAGGGATGTTAACAAGATGTGTAGGTTACACTATGTCTCAGCATCAGGGGTGCAACCCTGCCCACTGAGCATTACCAATAATTCAGCAGATAGTCTCTAAAGGCAGAGACTGGAATACCAGATCTACCACACTGTCCCGTGGACTCTAAGCCAGTAGTCTTTCAGAGCCAGCACCAGGTCCGGAAGCACTCTTGCTGTGATGGAGACGGGTGTACATCAGGAGGCAGAAAGGCCCAGGACTCATATTAGCATTCAGTGTTCCATTTATTGGCAAGATGTCACAAAAGTAGCATTCTCCCCTGTTTTTCACTGATCTGATTCAGAATATCAATAGTGTCTTTGATCAAGGTCTCAAAGATGCCATCAGCCAGTTGCATCTTCACACACAACTCATCCTCATCATAGTTCACCCACTGTGCTTCCTCCTCGTGGAGCTCCTGAACCTGGAATTCAGAAGACAACAAGGTCAGAAAGTCCCTGTCACACAAAAGCTAGGAAATTAATTATTTTTGTTGACTTTGTAGTCTTATCCATGGGAATACAGCCCAAGGAAATAAACCAGAGAAAAAAGAAAATTATATGATTATATCAATACTTTTAAAACTACAAAAAGTTAAAAAAACTCAATCATCAAATAAAATTTAAATGACTTCAATACTACATTTCAATTTGACGGTATATTAAGGATGACAAGTATGTGATCACATCAATATGAGGGAGCAAGTATAGGGGAAGAGAAGCACATTAAGTATTAGACACAGACGCTCCTCGACTTAAGATGGGGCTACAGCTAATAAACCTGCAGGATCTGAAAATACCGTAAATGCCGTGAACACACTTACCTCCCGAGCATGATTGCCCAGCTCGGCTTACCTTGAACATGCTCAGAACACTTATATTAGCCCACAGTGGGGCACAACCACCCGCAACACAGTATGCAGGAAAGTGTCAGGGTTTGCTTTGCGGTGGCCTGGCAGATGGAGGCTGCAGTTCCACTGCCCAGTATTGCCAAAAAGTGCCCTGTCGCGTGCCACTAGCCCCGGAAAAGATTCAAATTCAAAATGTGAAGGGCAGTTTCCTCTGAATGCATGTTGCTTTAGCAACATAGTAAAGTTGAAAAATATAAGGCAAGTCATCATTAAGTCTGGGACCTGTGACACGTATTTTCAATTATGAAGCGCATATGCCCAAACAATGTTGGATATGGTTCTAGAGTATGATAAATAAATGAATAACATTTATTATTCTTAGGGTATTTCTGAAATGTAATACTGCTTAAGTTTATTTTAAAAATCACTCATAGGATACGTGCTCTTTTTGCATATTTAGAATTTTGGAATTCCTAGATAAATAAAAACTAATCAAAATAGAAACAAATACCCCAGATTTACTGCTTGTTTATAACAATTTAAAAAAAAAATTGAGTTGGAGTGCTACTGCACTGTCGCCCAGGCTGGAGTGCAGTAGCACACTCATGGCCACCGCAGATTTGACCTGCTGGGCTCAGATGATCCCTTCCGCTTTAGCCTTCTAAGTAGCTGGAACTACAGGCTATAATACAGTTTTAACAAACTATTTTATGATAAAAGAAACACATTACACTTAGACATAATGACACTGAGTGGGATGGAGGCCAGGTAGAGAAAGTAGACGGTGAGCCCTGATCTAGTCACAAATTTAGCAAAGTTAATAGCTGTGACAGGAGTCTCTAACCAGAAGTCTAACCTAGCAATAAAGTCAAGTGACAGCAAGCTCCTCACTTGCCCGACAGTTTCATTTCAAAAAAGGCAGAGGAAGTCAACGGGAACCTGTACTCTGGTCTGCTCTGAGGAAGTGAGAGGACTAGTGAGAAAGAGGCCCATCAACCTGGGGCTCAAGAGAGCGAGCAAGCCAGAGTATGACTGCCCACACACCTGGGCCAGCGCTGAGAAACCAGGGTAGGACACGGTGGCTGTCATAGCCTTTCACTTTGAGGAAGGTGGCCTGAAGGATATGTAAGTATTCGTTCCTCTGTTCCCTAATATGCCACCAAAAAGGGTTCTATGGCTAAATGAGTCTGAGAGCACTTCTGGGAGATTTATGTTAGCCTATTAGAGAGAGTCTACCAGTAAAGACTGTTAACTGTTTAAAATCTGTTCAACTCAAGATTTTTTGACCTATATTTATTTGACCACACAATCATGTTGTATGGGTGAATGAGGAATGTTTGTTAACCAACCGTGGAGGGACATGTGCTCCTCTCTTCTGTAGGATGCTGTAAGAAACTGCCTCATTTAACACTCCTCACGTTGGTGCCGGGGGAGCTGTCTGAGGTGTCTGCACAAAAGACTTCCTGTCCCTACTGGATCTGCTTGTTGAGTTGCACAGCTTTTCTTTTAACAGACAGTTCCCTTAGCTTTTAACATTAAATCAGAACTTCCTCCCCAAGAACAAAATTTCGGAAACACTGTGCTAAGGAAATCTCTTTTGGGCTTGCGGTAGAAAGAGCTCTCTTAGTGTAACCCCAATGCAGTGCCCAGTGAGTGTTAAGACTTCACTGTTGGCAATCGTTGTGTTCCTCCTTAAGAACAGGAACTAATGTTCTTGCAGTGAGTGAGAACTAACACGATATTTTCCTTTTTTCTTTGGCTCAGCTCAGAGCCCAACTTGAAACTTCAACTACAGCAATGGAGGGATCTCACAGACTGCAAATCTACCCCTATTTTTTATTTCTGCTCTTCAGAGTCTATTATATTCTTTTTTTTTTTTTTGAGTTGGAGTCTCACTCTGTCGCCCAGACTGGAATGCAGTGGCTGCTCCGGGCCACCACAGCCTCGACCTGCTGGGCTCTGGTGATCCTTCCGCCTCAGCCTTCCGAGTAGCTGGAATTACAGGCGTGCGCTACCACGCCCGGCTGATTTTTTGATTTATTGTGGAGATGAGGTCTCGCTGCCCAGGCGGGTCTCAAACCCGTGGGCTCAGGCAATCCACTCACCTCAGCCTCCCAAAGGCACGGGATTACAGGCTGAGCCACCGAGCCCGGCTATTATATTCTACTACACATTTCCCCTGCTCCTGAAGATATATGTGTCTAATATGTAAATTAATAGATATATAAACAATTAAATTATATTTAAAGTCAGACTAATAATTTCCCTCTCTCCCTCCCTTTTTCTTTCCTCCTTCCCTCCCTTCCCTCCCTCCCTCCCTCCCTCTCTCCTCTTCCACAAAGGATTAGGCTAGTGGAATAGAAAAATGAGGTAAATAGAACACAGCCTGATTTCCGTGAACAAGATATAGAGACAGAGCCAGGCAGTTCGGTGGGGCTGTGCTTTTCTGACCGAAGGACAGCTTTCCAGCTGAAGGCCGGTTCTACCTGAAGCCACCGAAGGTGCTTCCTATGGGCCCCAGCCATCTTCCATCTTCTCCATGTTCCCTTAGAGTCATCACCTGCTGAGTCACCTTCTGTGCATCTGTTCTCCCCCAAGGCTGTAAGCTCCTACAGGACTCTTTCTTTTATGTGTAATTCCCCAGTGACTAGGACAATGCAAGTAGAAGGTGCTACATAAATATCTGTCCCGCATAGAGGATAATTTTAGTGAACGCTGAAAGGTGGTCTTTGGCTCTGTCTAGTTCATTGTTCTTAGCAATCAATTAGCAAAGGCAGGTACATCAATTTTAGAGATGATATGAAGCTGGGAAATAAAATAACTATGTTCAAAGAAAGAACCCTAAAATGTGCTGGTAGCCTGGAATGATGGGCCAAATTTAACAAGATGAAGGAGTTCAATAAGGCCTCGTTATAGGCTCCTAAGAAGTCACTACAAAAGCACAGGTTGAGATTTTGGTCTTGGGTTTTTCCTACGCTCCTCTGAGTATGATACAGCTGAAAAACAAAAAACAAATATGATCAGAAACTGCACTAATCAAAATATGCTATCTAGAAAAAAGGAGCTTGTATGATGATCATACTCATTAAACAATACATGAAACATGATATGGCTAATTCTGAGCACTGTATTTAAAGAAGAACACTGACAAAGAGCCAAGCTGATGATGCTGAAGGGACTCAAAGCCATCGGACAACAGAAGACAATGTTTGCTAGAAAAGACTCAAGTGCAAGGTGACAGCTGTTTCAAAGGGTGTGGGAAGAATTTAAATTGTTATATGAAGCCTCAAAGCTGTGGAAGCAGATTATAATTAATTATGTGACAACCAATTTAGGCCTAATATGAGAAAGAATTTACAGATGAGAGAACTCAGGAGCTGCTGAGTATCTTATCAGACCACAGGTTGTAAGGGAGATTCAATCACTAGCTAGGTGGTTTCACCACAGGATTTGTCATTTTAAGTGCAATTCTACCTATCATAGGGAGATTTTCCAAGGTCACAAAAAAGGGTATACAAAAGTCAACCTAATTACTTGTTCCTCATTCCACAGCATACACTTTGAGAATGTATTGCTAAAAACAACTCTAATCCTCAGCTAACCTTACATGTAAATTAATCAAAGCCTTTGTGAAGAAAGGGACAGTGAATGAGAACTAGAGCTGAAGAAATATTTATCTTTTGGCTAAAAAACATTATTTGTATTTTACTCGTCTCAAATAATACCTAAAGATATATATACAGTTAGGCGATTAAGGACCTTCCAGGCCAAGCAACAGCTAAAACATGCATTTTCTTAATCTAGATGAGGCAACTATTTATTATGAAGTGTTTAGTATAACAGTTTATTTATCAATTTACAAATGTCTTAAAAGGGTAATCAAGAATCAGTTTGATAAAAGAAACATTCACTATGATCAAGTGGGATTTATCCTTGAAATAAGGATGGTTCAACATACTAAATCAATAAATGTGCTACTCCACTTTAACAAAATGTAGGATAAAAATCTTATCATTTTGATAAATGCAGAAAAAGCACATGACAAAATTCAACACCCGTTCATGATTAAAAAAGCACTCATAAATACTCTTAACAGATTAGGTAAAGGAAATGTACTTCAAAACAATACAGACCATATATGACAAACCCACAGCTAACATAATTCTCAGGAGCTCTGTTTTGAACACATTACATTTGAGATGTCTAACAGACACCCAAACATAGATACTGAGTAGGCAACTGGATATATGAGTCTAGAGTTCAAAAAAAAATCCTAGGCTGGAGATATGTCTTTGGGAGTAGTGAACATATAGATGACAGTCAAAGTCTGAGACTGAGAAAGGGGGCAGACGAGGAGAGAGGAGGTCCAGGGGCTGATATCTGGAGCCTCCAGTGTTTCAAGGGTTAAGAAGGTGAGAAGGAACCAACAAAGTAGACAGAGAAGGAGCAGCCAGTGAGGGAGAAGCAAGCCAGAAGGAAGGGATCAACTGTGTGGAATGCTGTAATGGTCAAGTGAGATAGGAAATCAGAGTTTACCACTGGATTTAGCAACATAGAGGTCATTACTGATCTTA